ATTGAGCAATGAATTGGTTTGGTTATGGAGGTGGCTCCTACTTCTATAATTCATATTGGTGCACCTCATTTTCCGTGGCCATTCGTAGTGCGCTACGCAGCTCACCAGCTCAACCTGTGGCCACACTCCCAGCAGCCACAGTTTTCACCGACCCTTCTTTGGACTGGGTCCCCTGGTGACACGTTTGTGTCTCACATCTCGGGTTGCCTCACTCACGTCCGTGACTCTCGTGCCGACAAGCTCACCACCTGCACCGTCCCTTGTGTCTTTCTTGGCTTCCCCCTGGACGCGTCTGTCCGGCACTTCTACCATCCGCCATCTCACTGCTTCTTTCACTCACGTGAGGTCACATTTGATGATTCAGTGTCATTCTACACTCGCATTCCCCACCGAGGTCTCCCGGTTACCTCGCCCCTGTTCCTTGTCCCCACCCTCTTGGTAGCTCCCGCTCCCGGTCCTGCCCCGTCTAGTGTGTCTCACGTTACTCCCCTCCCCTCGGTTATCCCGGCGGAGGAGTCTGCTGACCTTGAGAGCCCTAAGGCTTAGGGTCCGCTGCGTGCTGCTGCGGCGCCTGCCCCCTGGGCCCTGGTGTCTCCTCCGCCACCACAGCAGCAGCAATCGCGCCAGCAGCAGGGGTCCGTGAGCTCTGAGGGTGCTACCACTCGGGGTGCGGACGCTCTGGAGGGTTCTCTTTTTGGGGGTGCTAGTACTGGGCGGGCTAGTTCTGGGGGTGCTCATCCTAGGGTGCTGTCGTGGCGAGTCCTGAAGGTAGCCGTGGTGCAGCTGGAGGTTCTGGTGTGGGCGCGGAGCCGCAGCAGCACCAGCACTCGCCGTCAGTGTCCGCCCTTTGCCTCCTCGGTCTTCCCTCCCCCGACTGCCCGCCCACGCCTCCCCCGGTGCCGCCTCCTCTGCCTGTCTATGGCCCTGTATTTCCTCCGCCGGACTCGTCCTCGGCTCGTTTCCCCCCTCGTTTTCCCCGTGTGTCTCCTCCGTTGTCTCCTGACCCTACGCCCCCCTCTCACTGGTGGTCTCACCGCCCCTCTCGTGCTCGTCCTGTCTCTCCCGCTCCGAGTGTTCACCCTATGTCTCTTGGTTCTCACATGTCTCGTGCTCTTCCCCCTCATCCTCTCCCATCGCCTCCCAAGTCATCTCTTGCTGTCTCCCCGCCTCCTTTCTCTAACTTCCTCCGTGCTCCTCGCCCTCTTGTTCCCCGTGTCCTCGCCTCTCTTGTTACCGACCCGTCCGTTCCTGTCTCTAGTCTAAACGCTCTTGTCGCAGGTGTTACCGAATTTGCCTCTACCCGCCACCTTGACTATGCCAATGCTTTGGTCTCTGATCCTGCCCGTCCTCAGTCCGCCGAGGTTGCACCTGCCCTTTGCCGTGACGTCCTAGAGGACAAGCAATACGAGCTAGCTTTCCTATCCGAGGCCGCTTCTCATCTCTGCTCCATGCTCCTTGCCCCTGAGGGTGTCCCAGACGCTCTTGACATCCCGACCCCTCGCACCTACGCTGAGACGAGCGTCTCAGTGGATAGCTGTCATGGACGCAAAGATGGCATCTTGGAGATCCATCGGCACCTACGTCGATGCAGTTCCACCATCTGAGGTGAACGTAGTCGATTGTCGGTGGCTCTTCAAGGTGAAGCGCCCTCCTGGAGAGCCCCTGGTGTTCAAGGCATGCTATGTTGCTAGAGGCTTCAGTCAGTACGAGGGCATTAACTTCTTTTAGACCTTCGCCCCGACCCTAAAGATGACCACTCTTCGGGCACTGCTTCACGTAGCAGCACAGCGTGACTATGAGCCTCACTCACTTGACTTCTCCACAGCGTTCCTCCGGAGAAGTCTGCACATCGTGCCGATTGGTCTCGCACCTTAAGGTCCTATGCGCTGGCCCCGGAGGATCACGTTCTTGTTTCCAACATGGCATTCGACGCATACAACTAGCACGGTTCTACTACTAGTAGTACCGCAATAGCGTCCATAGATCCTCGGATGCTGCAAGCACTCACCCTCGTTTCCAGCCGCTCAAACGCACTTACTGCACAATGTATGGGAAAGGTCATCCTTTTTCACCATTTCTTTCTTAAGCCAGCCTCCCACCTTCGCAAGAATGTATAGTATCAGATTCTCTTAATGCATTTGGGTCTGACTCAATACTCATTAAGCTAGTAGCTCCTTATCAAATCCGCGAGCCGTCTCAGCCTTCACGCTCGGCGTTCTTGGTTTCTCAGTCGCTGCAAGATTCTGGTTACTTCGCACAGTGGTTAAGCGAACGGGTGTAACGAAGGCCGGAACCCATAACATGGTTGAATCTAATTCTTTATCTAAATGAGACGTATTATGTCGAGTTTGGGAATAAGAAAGCAGACTCCTGGTGGGGATAAGGAGAGACGGAGGCGCGTCAATGGAGCACCCTAGAAGCCGGAGGTCAGAGAACCTCGTTGTGCTGAGATCCTTAGATCCTATGGCTATTCAAAAGGCTCCTATTCACGGAAGAGTTCTCTTGATCATGTTTCTGATATTATATTTCTTTGCGCATGCAGGAGGACAAGATTCTATTGGCCCACGTGGAGAGGCACGATACAAACAAGTGGTGGCTTGTCAAGGCTATGGGTCTGTTCCCCACACGAGATCACAAGGCGTGTTGTAGCTGATTCATTATACTTAAGAGGTAATCTGCTTCTATTCATAGTAACGTGTGCTATCTCATTGTGCTAAAGATGTGATTTTCCTAAACAAGCACCTCATGACGAATTTCTCACGTGTCATGGCTATCTCACTTGATTTTTACTCTCTTCTTTGTTGTAAATGGCATCCACACATCTCATGTAGAAAGCTTTCTACAGGAAGCTCACTACTACACTTCAATCCAGAAAGCTCCAATTTCCATGCAGATAGTTGTTGAGCTGGCTCGCATTATTGTACCACTCAGCTTTGACTCAAATCCTGTATCGGTTTTTTTATAATTCTCAAAAACCAATTCTAAACATACACGTACCACTCTGATTCGACCCACGACTCCTAGGTGTTTCATGCCCTGGTTACGCTTTTTTATGTCTTGCAGAAAGCTCTCCAATCTGCACCAGCACACGTCACAGACGGACGTGCCTGACCAGCACACGGCGGACATGCCTGGTCATCCAGGAATGTCTCAAAATCTGCACCAGCAGCATACAACCATGGACACGCCTGAGGCACCGATGATGGTTGAGACGCCTGAGATTGAGAAGACGACTGAGATCGAGAATACGAGTGAGAGGGCTAAGGAAGCTGCGAAGTCGACCAAGACGGTTGCAATGGCGACGATGACGGAGAGATTGATGGCGATGGCAATGACGATGCTGTGTGCTTCGGAGGAGAGAGATGGTTTTGAGGCGTCTCAGAATGAGGCGAGTCCATGCCTTAATGTTGTCTAGGGTTTAGGGTTCCCTCAAAGGGGAAATTGGTGTAATGGGGTCGTACTCTCACACTCACCCACTCATGCAAAAGGGTGGGTCCAGGAAGAGCGGGAAAAGGTCCCTGCAGAAGTTTGCACTAACCTCGTAGATAACATGGCTAGGAGGGTGTTGGTGGTGATCAATGCCAAGGGTCAGTGGACTAAGAACTAGAAACACTGTTTTGAAGTTTGTTCCGCCGAGATGCGCCAGCAGTACATGCTGCCACATCAGCCGTTGCTGACTCAAAACACTATTTCACAAGACACTACTAAGAGAGCCTCTTTTTGTGAAATGAGGAGGAGCAGCCAATAGGGTCCGTGCGAGGCAGAGGCAAAGGAGGCGGTATGAAGTAAATAAAGGCGTCATATATTAGGCATGCGACACCGAGGTTTTTTTAGTGGATTGAGTCGAATGTGGACATAGATGGCATGGTATGCAGACAAATGGGAGGTTTATATGTGGACGTGTGGCATCATTGATGTGCTGGCTTGTGGTAGGAGAAACGCATTATATCATTGTTGCTATTATTGGAGTGCATGATAATGCTGATATTGCTTTGATGAGCAGGCACGTTTTGATTTTACAGTACTGCATATTTTTCCGTTAGAGGAAACCAACTGCGACTCGGTCGATGGACAAGGGGCGACCAGTGGCGAATCTTCAGCAGCAGCCACCGACACCACGAAGCTTCGGATTCCGTTCCTGACAGTGCACAAATCAGGCAGAATTCTCAGGGCTGGCCGCCTCGCGCTGGTTGGGGTGAATCTGCCCTGGTTTGGGCGAACAGCCACACTGGCTCCCTGCAAACAACCAACCTGGGTTTGACCAGCCACCAAACCTAACCTCCGCAATCTAGCTCGTTAATTTATTGCCGAACCTCACGTTGTAAGGCACTTGGTTGGAAGAGGTTGTGGTGGTCAGGTGGGGCTGATTCGGTTCGTCACGCCCCCCTTGCTAGGCTGTTGATCGCGCAAGCAGGGTTTGCCAACTGGTGTGGGACCAAAACTTAGCTGCCCGGGCTTGCTGAAGAAAGGCTCTTAGCAGCCGAACCGAAACTGGTTATTGTGTGTGCAGGGGGAGAGAGACGCTAAGCTCAGTTGTGTTTATGGGTGCGGACGAGGGAAGGTTCTTTATTTTGCTGGCACACAAAGGAACTCCCGGTGCAAGGGGAAGGGGGCCAGGGGAAGCGAAAGTGTGGTGGGAGGGGGAGTGGGTTCCGCCCATTGTCTCAGGGAGGGCCTATGACGAAAGAGTAAGGAGCAGGCCCAGACCGCAGGCACCAAACCCTACAAATCAAGGGCGTCTCCGTTAAAAAAAACTATCGAGCTTCGAGTTCTATCTCTAAACACAATATTCAGAGAATGAAAAGTATTTGCCCTCTAAACAACAGGCTTGCTTGTGCCAGCGGAGCCGCGGCGGCTTGATTTTGTGAGCGGTGTTCCGAACATGTTCCGAACCTAAGCGCCCCTATTGGCTCGGATTAGCACCACTTCCCTTCAAACCCATGGAAATTAATTCGTCTCCAGCAAGCCTCACTGCTCCTTTTCAGCCAAGCGGGATACGCGCACGCGACGAGCTGGCGTTGGTCAGGCTGAGTTCAGATTCGCAGTTCCTTCAATACCCTCGTGGCGTAGCGAATCCTGCTCATTCAGAAACTCAGACTTGGCGCGAGACCGCCGCTGTCCTGGCGAGAAACGCCTGGAGCTGTTCTGGCTTAGAGTAGACCGTGACAGCCGCTTTCGGCCAGAATCGTATCTCACGAGACAGCTAACAGTCTGACCTCGTCTCTTAGGCCTTAACTGAGTTCCCGTCCCGAATCAAGGCAGAATGTTATAGACGCCATTCCCGAGGGCCTTATCTCTTCTCACTTCGTTACGGGTTACATTCGATCTTGGACTTATTATAAAATGGCCCTGTCCATAGCCATTCTTCTCTTATGCGCGATCGCGACAGCCGACTCAGCAGATCGTAGCCCTCATATCGATGCGCCTTACCATGCGGCTATCAACAGTACTACGAACCGTAACGTCGCGCACGCGGCGGCGGTTTCTTCCCTTTCCACTCTTCGCGATGCCTTCACGAATCAGACGACGCACCGTTCTGGCGTCGGACGTCAACGACTCCGTCTATCCAGCCGGCTAGCCGTTCGCCGTGACGCTCCGTCAACACCCGACGGCAAGGAGCCATCTCCTTACCGCCGCTCTCTCTCCGCCTCGGATCCGCACGCTTCCGCGAGCAAGGCTGTTCTTCCGCCGAACCCTTCCGATCCGCACTCGGCACCCCAAGCCGTCCTTCCGCCCCCCGTCCCTAACCATCCGAGCCCGCCGAGCATCTCTTCTGGTCCGAGCCTCTTTTCCTTGCCGAGCCTGGCCTCCATTTTCGCTTTCATGCAGCCTCGGGATCCGAGGCAGGTTCCGCCGACTTCTTCCCCCCCAGCGCTCCCCGTCCCCCCTGTCCTGCCCCCTCCGGTCCTGCGCCCCCCAATCGCGCGGCCTCCGCCGGTCAAACCCCCCCCGCGTGCCCCTGCGCCGCCTCCGCCATTTTTCCAGCCGTGGCCAATCAACGGCCAGGGAATCTTCAACGTGCTACAGTTCGGGGCGCGCGCGGACGGGCGCACGGACAACACGGACGCGTTCCGCCGCGCGCTGCAGTCCGCGTGCGCGTGGGGAAAGGCGCGGAACGGGTACGCGCGAGTGGTGGTGCCCGCGAGCGGGCTGTTCCAGATCTTCCCGGTTGAGCTGGAGGGCCCGTGCGGCGCCGGGCTGGAGGTGCTGGTAAGTGGAGGAGGGATGGAATGAGTCATTGGGAGTGGGAATCCGGGGGAGGGATGCGGGGCTGAAGGGACGAGACGAGAAAGCACGAGCGAGCGGTGGTGCCCGCGAGCGCGCTGTTCCAGATCTTTCCGAGAGGGCAGTGCAGCGCCGGGCTGGAGGTTCAGGTAAGAGGAGGATGCACGCGCGAGTGGTGGGCACGGTGCCCGCGAGCGGGCTGTTCCGGATCTTCCCGACTGAGCTGGAGGGGCCGTGCAACCCCGGGCTACAGGTTCAGGTGAGTGAATGGGTCGGGCCTCAGGGAGTGGGTTACTCCGGATCTTCCCGATTGAGCTGGAGGGGCCGTGCGACGCCGGACGCACAGACAACACTGACGCTGTGCGGCACATGGGGTCGACGTCAAGGGAGGTTTTCCGTGAAGGGGTCTGAGGAGGAAGACGGGTCGACGGGCAGAGTGCTTGGAAGGGAAGGGGGAGCGGAAGGGGGGAGGTGGGTGGGTGCTCGACTCTGAGGATTCCCTGCTGTCACACGCACCACTTGGGAAGGGAAGGGGGAGGGGGGGGAGCGGGGGAGGTGGGTGGATGCTTGATTTTGAGGATTCTCTTCTAACACACGCACCACTCCCTCCCTCTCTTTCCTCCCCGTCCAGTCTCCTGTCTGCCCCTATACTTATCCCTCGCCCCCTCCCCCTTCCTCCTCCCCTCCCCCTTCCCCATCCCCCTCCCCCTCCCCTCTTCTCCCCTCTTCCGCTGCTGGTTCCGCGCCCCCCTTGTTCCCACCTCCCGGACCCATCACGTAACAGATCAATGGCGGCATTGCTGGGGCCGCCAACGTTACAAGTTACCCGAAACCGCGGAAGAGCAACGCGTGGGGGCTTTTGTTTTTCCGAGAGGTTGCGAATCTGGCGGTCAGGGGAAGCGGGTGGATGGACGGACGCGGCGCGGGGTTTTGGGCGAGGTCGAAGGGGAGCAAAAAACCCACTCTACTGTTCCTAATGCACTGTGATAATGCTACAGTGCAAGGAATAGGTTTAACGTAAGTTTTGTTTGAGCTGTAACACATCATGTTGCCCTAGGATAGATGTAAGATTGTTTATTTCAGTCTTTATTAGCCTCTCATATTTATTACTCCTTGTTTCCATCCCTTCGTTGTTTGCCAATACTTTCACCCTCTTGTCTGCAGGAACTCAGCCAAGGCACACCTCAAGGTGTATGCCAGTAACGGACTGCTTATAGAGGGTATAACCACTCGCAGCCCATTCAACAGCCCCAACACGGACAGCATTCAGGTCTCCAGAGTTGAGAATGGCGTCATTCGAAACAGCCAACTGCAGGGAGGTGAGTGTGCTTGTAACGAGGACGAACGAACGAGAGCACACCGTGCTTGCTTTCTAGAAGGTAATGCTTTTATATGAGGAGGTTATTCTAACAGAGGTGTACGGTGTACTCATGCATACAGGAAGGGGCTGTAGTCTAGTCTGTAACCAAAGTGTTATTGTTGTTTACGTTTCGTGACTGCAGTAGAGCATACACGCCATAAGCAGCATTAACTGTAGCTGGAGTGTCATTAAAAAGGTTGATTGATCCAACAAGAGTTCATTTTCCAGTCAGGTTCAGTTTTAAGGTTCAGGGTTTAGGTTTAGGGCCCCCTTAAATGTCAACACTACAAGCAACAAAAGGTCATCCAGTCGTTGACCAATGGCTTGTGCCATGTTTCCCCCAACCATCGTCCTTTTCCTTCGGCCAATCAGGAGATGACAACGTGGCCATCGGTGATGGCTGTCACAATCTGCTGGTGGAGAATCTTGTGTGCATCAACGGCCATGGAGTGAGGTGAGGAAATCAACGGCCACGGAGTGAGTTGTGAGGAATCAACGGCCACAGAGGAGGTGTAAGGAATCAACGGCCACTGAGGAGGTGTGAGGAATCAACGGCCACTGAGGAGGTGTGAGGAATCAACGGCCACTGAGGAGGTGTGAGGAATCAACGGCCACGGAGTGAGGTGAGAAGATGGTACTGCATACGTGGCATGCAAACATTGGCTTGTGAATGAGGTGAGGGCATGCACAGGTGATGGGCTTACTTTCGAGTCCATTCAAAAGTCGGCTTGTTGTGAGGCATTCGCATCAACAGCCAATGGGCCGGTTTAGATTCTTGTTTGCTTTCCCTTCGCTCCCTTCGCTCCCTTCGCTCCCTTCCTCCTTGCTTTTCTTCCTCCCTTCCACAGCATAGGAAGCCTAGGAGAGGGCCGAGGGGAAGGTATTGAATTGACTAAAATGAGGGCCGAGGGGCAGGTATTGAATTGACTAAAAAGGGGGCTGAGGGGCAGGTATTGAATTTACTAAAACGAGGGCTTAGGGGCAGCTTTGGGGCAGCTCTGAAAGCCCAGGCAAGGACCGGGAGACAGCGGGTGTGCAGGACGTGCTTGTAAGGAACGTGACTTTCACGGGATCCAACAACGCCCTGCAGATAAAGACTGTATTCTTTCTCATGCCTCCCCCCCCCCCCCCCCCAGTTTCCTTATCACTTCCCATCCCAGCATCGGTAGCCTGGGAAAATAAAGTTTGGGCAGTCAAGAGACCACCTCCCCATATCTCCTCCCCTTCCTCCCTCCTCCGCCATCCCAGCATCAGAAGCCTGGGGAAATAAAGCTGATCTCTCCCCCCCCCGTTTCCTTATCACTCCCATCCCAGCATCGGAAGCTTGGGGAAGTAAAGCTGATCTCTCCCCCCCCCCCCGTGTCCTGATCACTGCCATCCCAGCATTGGAAGCCTGGGAAAGGATCGTGAAACGGCCTGTGTGTCGGACGTGCTTGTAAGGAACGTGACTTTCACGGGGTCCAACAACGCTCTGCGGATCAAGACGTACCAGGGGGGCAAGGGGCTTGTATCGAACGTGACTTACCGGGACATTCGAGTGACTGACGTCACTTGGCCTATAATAATCGATCAGGTATGCAGCTGCACGCAAGTAGGAAACACATAAACCTGATAAGTGGATTTTTTAGTCGACTCCAAAACCACCTAGTGCTGTGTTATCCACGTGGGCAACACATTATCCGAGTAATTGATTTCACTTGGCCTATCATTATCGATCCGACACAGTCAGACTTTAACAGGCTCGGCCAACATCACGTGCGCCATTATCATTTATTTGTTTTGGTTTGTTCTGTTTTTAGATTTCTTTGCTTCAACTGCAGCTGCTCCGTCCCCTGCGCCTCCTTGCTGCTCTCTTTGTGGTTGCTTCTCTCCTCACTCTTTCCTCCCCTCCTCTCCCTCCCCTCCTCTCCCTCCCCACCTCTCCCTCCCCTCCTCTCCCTCCCCACCTCTCCCTCCCCTCCTCTCCCTCCCCACCTCCCCCTCCTCTCCCTCCCCACCTCTCCCTCCCCCTCCTCTCCCTCCCCACCTCCCCCTCCCCTCCTCTCCCTCCCCTCATCCCACTCCCCTGCAGTTTTACTGTGACGCCTCTCGGAGCAAGTGCAGGGAGAGGAAGGAAGCAGTGGCCGTGACTGATATCAACTTTTCCAATGTCAAGGACACTGCCAACGGTCCCACTGGCCCCCCCTTCATCTCTCTCTCCCCCCCCCCCTCCACCTCAGTTCTATTGTGACGCCTCTCCAAGTAAATGCCGAGAGAGGAAGGAGGCAGTAGCCGTGACTGATATAAACTTCATCAACGTGAAAGGAACGGCCAACGGCACCCATGCCATCCTCTTCAACTGCAGCCGCTCCGTGCCCTGCACCTCGCTGCTGCTCTCTGGCATCGCCATTGCGCCCTCTGCCAACCGCGCCAGCAGTTTGCTCCAAGTTGTGGCCGCCCAATCTGGCGAATCTTCTCAGTCTGTTGCGCCCTCTGCCAACCGGGCCAGCACCCTGCTCCAAGCTACTGCTGTTGCTGCTGATGTGCTCTCTGCTTCTTCCTTCTCCTCCTCCTCCTCCTCCTCCTCCTCCTCCTCCTCCTCCTCCTCCTCCTCCTCCCCCTCCCCCTCCTCCTCCTCCTCCTCCTCCTCCTCCTCCTCCTCCTCCTCCTCCTCCTCCTCCTCCTCCTCCTCCTCCTCCCCATTCTCCTCCTCCTCCTCCCCCTCTTCCCTCCGTACGTCATCTGCCTCCTTTGAATCAGACATCCGCCCTCTCTTCCCTCACCTTCCCTCATCCTACGTCTCTGCTTCCTCCTCTTCCTCCTCCTCCTCTTCACTCTATCAAGTACCTCCTCTCTTATCGGAGTTCATCTCAGCCTATGGCGTCACGACGGGCCTCCTCTTTCCAATGCCCAAGGTGCAGTCACTGGCACACACACACCCACATGCATGCACATACACACACATGCATGCACACATGCCCACACACACACACACCACTTCTCTCTCACTCTATCAAGTGCCTCCTCTCTTATCGGAGTTCATCTCAGCCTATGGCGTCACCACAGGCCTCCTCTTGCCGATGCCCAGGGTGAGTCCCTTCCCCACACCCCTTCCCCACACCCCCCACACCCCTTCCCCACACCTCTTCCGAACTCTCCTCCCCACCCCAGGTTGCAGGATGGTTCTCGCTTTCCCCCACGGCCCTACAACCCCCACGGCCCTACAAACCCCACGGCCCTGCAACCCCCACGGCCCTGCAACCCCCACGGCCCTGCAACCCCCATGGCCCTGCAACTGCCGACTCAATGTGTTCCACAACCTCCCTCGCCTCCTCTTCACCCCTTCCCCACTCCCCTTCCAATCCAAACTCCCCTACCCACCGCAGGTAGCCGGGTGGTCCTCCCTCTCCCCGCTGCCCTACAGCCGCTGGCTCTCCAACGCCATGGCTTCTCTCTGCGGGTGAGTGTGCCGCTCCTGCGTGCTCATATGGTGCCCCACTCAGAAGACACCCCACACCCCTCTTAGTAGTCTCGTCTGGACGACACCCCACCCACAGCCCTACAGCCGCTGCCTCACCAACGCCATGGCTGCTCTTTGCGGGTGAGTCCATTAGGCCTATGCTTGAATTGCTTGTTTGTCCCTCCCTACTGCGTATGCTGCACGCATGCATGCATGCCCAGAGCCCTACTACAGCCGCTGGCCCACCATCGCCAAGGCTGCTCCTTGCGAGTGAATGGCAGGTGAGTCCATTCGGCCTATGCTCCGATTGCTTGTCCCTACTGTGTATGCGGCATGCATGCATGCATGCATGCCCACCCTACTGCAGCCTCTGGCTCAGCAACGCCATCGCTGCTCTCTGTGGGTGAGTGTATCGCTCCTGCATGCTCGTAGGTCGTGAGACATTAATTTGAGACAGGTAGAGAACACCTCACTCACCCCACGGCCATACATACAGCCGCTGGCTCGCCAACGCCATCGCTGCTCTCTGTGGGTTAGTCGATTGCTCTCGTTTGCATGTATGGGTGGTTATGCTGCTTGTAACACATGTTGAGTCGGCTAGACGCCACCTTTCCCTCACCCCACGGCCCTGCGGTTGCTGGCTCACCGAAACCCATGGCTTCACTTTGCAGGTGAGTCTGTCACTTGCGCGTGCTTTTACTGGCACTTCTGTTTGTTTTCTGTATATGATCTTATGTTGGTGCTTAATTTGGTGCGTTCAGTGGCCCTTCTATTGGTGCTTATGTTGGTGTTTACATCGGTGCTTATATTGGTTCCTATGTCGGTGCTTGTATCGGCGTTTATATTGGTGCTTTTACTAGTTGCAACTTATATTGGTGCCCATATCGCTGCTTCATTTCAAAAATAAATGCCTTGTTACTAACTAACCATATCACACTCCCCCACTCCCCCACTTTGTGGAACCCTGCAGGTCTCTCAACGGGCCTCCTTCCCGCCCATCCCTCCTCCCCCCTTGTTGCCAAGGCACCAAAAACCCTCTTCTTCTCGGCCTATTCTTTCCCTCAGCTTTCACTCCCTTTTCTCGGATTTCCCCTCCCATCCCCTGCCTCCCCTCCCCTTCCTTGCCTCTCCTCCCTCCCCTGTTTCCCCTCCCTTCCCTTTTCCCCCCTTCCCTCCCTTGAACAGATCAGAGCGAGTCGCCTTCCTGCCTTTCCCTCCGCCTGTTTCTAAGGCCCCAACCCCCAAGCCACCTTCTCTCAAGCCTCCCACTCTCTCCCTCTCTGCCTCTCATCTTTCCCCTCCCTTCCCTTTTCTCCCCTCACCTCCCTTGCGCAGATCAGAGCGAGTCGCCTTCCCGCCTTTCCCTCCGCCTGTTGCCAAGGCCCCGGCCCCCAAGCCACCTTCTCTCAAGCCTCCCACTCTCTCCCTCTCTGCCTCTCATCTTTCCCCTCCCTTCCCTTTTCTCCCCTCACCTCCCTTGCGCAGATCAGAGCGAGTCGCCTTCCCGCCTTTCCCTCCGCCTGTTGCCAAGGCCCCGGCCCCCAAGCCACCTTCTCTCAAGCCTCCCGCTCTCCGCAAGCCTCCCCCTTCCCTCAAGACTCCCCCTTCCCTAAAATCTCCTCCACCAAAGAAGCCTACCCCAGTCGTACCTTCCCCCAAGCGACTACCACCCTCCTCATCCTCCTCGTCCTCATTAACGTCAGCATCTAACCCATCCCAGCTGTTCCCACGCACGGACTCCTCACCATCGCCTCCTAACCCCTCCCAGATCTTCCCTCTCATAAACCCGCCATCTGCATCGGCATCTCGTTCTAAACCTTCCCAACTGTTCCCTACTGCTGCACACGCAGCTTCACTGCACCAGCAGCAGCAGCAGTTCACCTCACCCTCCTCCTCCCTCCCCACTCCCACATCGTTCTTTGCTGCTCGCCTGGTGCAGTCAGAAGAGGCTCGAGCACAGGCCAGGAGACAGGAGGCATCTCACGTTCAACATGCTCACACTTCCCTTAGTCACATTCGGTCTTCCGGACGCTTGTATACACTTGCCTCCACGCATACCTCTCCTCCCCCTCCCCATCACTCTCCTTCATCTCCCCCTCCCTCTAGTTCCTCTCCCCTTCCTCTCCCCTCCCCAACTCCCCCCCTCCTTCCTTACCTACCGCTTCATCTACCTGACGGCCAAACACACCCTTGAACACCGCACAGCACCACACTGCATTGCACTTCGACACTCTGCACACACTGCCTCGACGCACTACAGAGCGCTGCACCAGCACACACTCGGTGGCAGTACACTCGTATGCATTTTATAGACACCACCAGCACGGGCACACATGCCGCGGCTCTCAGCTCGAGAGCTTAGATGGGCGACTACAATAGAGGCCCTTAGTAAGAGCTGGATTTGCCTCTAATGCATTGGTGCGCCCCCTTGATTCGTTTCAGGCCACACTGAAAAATAGGGTTTCTAGTTTTCTGATTGGTTGGCCCGGGTTTTTCCACATTGAACACTGATTTTTCAGGGTCGGTACGGTAAAGCACCCTGTAAAAAGGCGAAATTTGCGTTGTTTTTTTTTTCCTGATATCGTGGGGCCTCTCATGTATTGTAGCCTTCGCTGATTTTACAAAAACACACACATGTTTTCGGGGTTATATGAAGTACAAATATCTATGGCATGAAAGTTGGTTTTGTACGGTACAGTGGCTGTTCATTCTGCTGTCGTCCAGCTCAGCTTTGCGTTTCGGAGCCGATACCAGGATGACGTGGCATTTCACCTGCAGCACGCAGTCACCTCCAAAGGAGCAGCGTCTCGAGCTCACCTCAGCCACATCGCGACTCGATTTCCGCTGAGCTGGAGCCGTCGAAATTGATCGGCACTCAGCGCCATGCGGGCGGAGTGAACGAGAGCAGGCGACGCGGCTTTTGCGCCATTCTCCTTGCTTCTTTGTGCGACGCCCCATTCCCTTCCACGCTCTCTGGGTCTGTCTGCACTGCAGCACATCACACATCACACAGCGCACAGCAGACACCAGACAGCACAGCACAGCACAACTTGGTCGCATCACAGCATTTCTTCATTCCTTATTCAATCAACCCCGTGACTTCCTCCTCCCTCACGATTTCCGAACTCGACGGCGGCCCAGCCCATTCCTCAGCGCGCATGAAACAACTCAGCAGAGGAAAATATCACAGGATGGATCCCGACTCTCAACCAGCCACGCCAATTGCGCAAGCCAGCAACTTCCTTCCTACCTCAGCTAGCAACTTCCTTCCTTCATGTCCTTGGCTCTCCCCTGGCTCTCCTCTGGGTCGAGTAGAAATCAGTCTCTGCATATATGATCGCAAGATGGTCTCAAGATGTTTTTGATATGTTTTTAAGTTGAAGTTGCTAGCGCACTCGTAGTTCGCGAAGCTTAGCTCGCAGGTAGCCCGAGCCCGTCCAACACGTATCTTGATTACGCTACTGACAACTATTTTCCCAGTTGCTTCTCGTAGCAACTATGGCGTCACTCGGTAGTAGCCGAAGTAGCACTCCCGCCTTAATCCTCTTCTCCCTCCTCTTTATTACCCCCGCTACTCACTTCTTCACCAGCAGTAGCTTACACGGCAGCGGCGGCGGCCGTCCTAGTAGTTCCCCCTACCTCTGCCAAGCGGTTAAAATCTACAAACCGGATCAGACCATTCTCCTCTACCTGAAATCCCGCTGGACCGGCTTTCAATACGCAGACTCCTGGGTCTCCGGCACCGACTGCTCCACGTGGCAGGGCGTCACCTGCGACGCGAGATCCGGCGCCGTCACGCGCCTCGACTTCTCCGGCGCGTGGATCAACGGCACGATCCCGCCCGCGATTGGCAATCTAACGGCCCTCACGAGCCTCGTATTCTGGGGCAACACGCTCGCGGGGCGCCTCCCGTCGTCCATCGGCCTCCTAACCCGCCTCCAGGAGCTTCGCATCGGCGACAACGGTCCCGGCATGAGCGGGGGAATACCGAACACGCTCTCGCGTTTGACGAACCTTTTTTACTTGGACCTGTCGCGGAACCGTTTCGCGGGCCCAATTCCGGCGTTTATTCTCGGCGGTACGATGAAGAAATTGGACACGTTGGATCTATCTGGAAATCGCCTCACGGGACGCATTCCCGGGGCGAAGCTCGGCGCGCTTTCCGTTTTGAAGACTCTCGGTCTCTCGGACAACCGACTAAGCGGTATCATTCCGACGGAGATCGGCAGGCTGACGGCGCTGACGTACCTGATGATTGTGAATAACCGGCTGGAAGGGCCGCTGCCGTCAAGTCTGGCTTCGTGTACCGGTCTGGTGAGGCTGACGGCTGGGGGTAACCGTTTGGGGGGTCCCCTTCCCACGGGTATGCTGCTGCGGCTAACGAAACTGGAAGGCATTTCGCTCAACCGTAACGGCTTCGTCGTTACTTCGCTGGCGCCACTCGCGAACCACCCGAAGCTGAAAGACATCGACCTGAGCCAGAACAGGGTCGCTCGGCGAATCCTCGCGACCCTCGGGCAGATGAAAAATATTCAGAGCCTGAATCTGGCGAGAAACAGGCTGACCGGATCCGTTCCCGCGTTTCTGCTAGCCAATCAGCCGAAGCTGTATGGACTGGACTTGTCTTTCAACAGGCTCTCTGGAAATTTTCCCTGGGCAGCGGTTCGAGGAGCTCCTGAATTAGCATGGCTCAACATTCAGCACAACTTGTTTTCGGGCAGAATGCCAGAAATTTCGTTCACGGGGCAGCGCATGCAGGTCCTAAACATGTCGAACAATTTCTTCTCGGGAAGTTTGCCGAATTTCGGCAATCCAGAAGGGGAGTACAACCTCGACGTTCGTGACAACTTCTTTTCGAGTAGACCGGAAATACGCGCGTGGGGAAAACGAGTTTGCCCGATCGAGGGGCAGACGGCTAAGCCTCCCGACGACGAAACGGTGTTCCTCACTGTCGCGCGTAACTGCCTTTCGCAGGTGCCTGGTTGCAAGGTTACATCGCAGCGCAAGCCCGCTTCGTGTGCCGCTTTCTGCGGCGCGAATGGCAAGTCCGGCGCGTGCGGAGGCCATGGCACGTGTGTGCCCAAGGCGGTGGGGGGGAAGGCTACGTTTGCGTGCGTGTGCGACAAGGGCTTCGCGCTGAAGCCCGGAAACGCGTTTGCCTGCCTTTGAGTCGACTCAAAAGAACAGCGCGTGTGTGCCTAAGGCAGTGGGTAGGAAAGGCTAACTGGCGGTTTTCCTGCGCGTGTGACAAGGGCTGCGCTTTGGAGCCAGGAAACGCGTTTGCGTGTGAATCGGCAGCATCAGACGAAAGGTTGGAGGGGTGAAAGGATAGCTGACAGCGCAAGGGGAGAAGGGGAGCGGGCGGGGGGGGAGGGGGGGAGGTTGAGAGGAGAAGGTTGGGCCAGGGAATTTGAAGAATGGGGGGGGTTGAAGCTGTCAGCAGAAGCAGCAAGGGAAGGCGGCACACCGTGTACAACCTCCAGCATTTGTATATATGGGAACCCTTCTCGTTACTCTACTTGTAGTGAGGTCATGCAGGTGCAAGTAAGCTGCATTCTGTAGGCTTTTAGTATGATGACTACAGTACATAATGTGATGAGATGTGAAGTCAGCCCCTTCTCTCATCTTGGGGTGAAGATGTTTTTGGGACCGAAAGCACTATCACTCAGATGTCAGCTGACATGAGTTGGTGCTCAACCAGGATACCTACTTGCAGAGCGTTGTTTAGTGTGCTAGCATACTTCCCTATATGTATCTGATGTAGCATTATTTCGCTCTCTGCAAGTGTACTAACGAGAAGAAGCATGAACTTCTCAACACCAGCAATCAGGAAACAAATAAATATATCATTTAGAGGTGTTTAGGTGGAACACGTTTTCTCCATGAAACCTCGTTCTATCCCTACCGGGGACAACTCTCCTCTAGCCTGGGTTTCTGCTCCATTCCTCCATGGAGATCTCGTGCGGTCCGCTGACCTGTCCAGCATCCTTTCTACCTCGCTCTGACACCACAAAGCGCGCTGATGACATGGAGGGCGGGTGTGGCCCCCCTGCATGTGCGACGGACCCCTTGCTCAAGCCAGCAGCTGGGCTTCCGTCGTCACGCGTGACAAATCCACATCAGCTTGACTCTGGCTTGACCCTGCTCGGTGCTTGCGCGAGAAGGTGTTCGCTGGCAGTACAAGGTCCGAGTCTCGGAACTTCGATTGCACGCCACCGCTGCGCGCTTTTTTCCACGGATCAGCCACCAGTGCGGTGCGAGATCCCAGCTTCGAAGCACACCATGCTTTCCGTGATCCGCCGCAGGTGCGGTTGCGCCACCAGCCGCGCCGCTGGGAAGCTGGGTCCTCTGAAAATATAACACCGGACCGGAGTCGCCTCAAATAGAAACAAATACCAAGGTGGCCCCTTACGGACCCAAGGGACGAGCTGGCCATGCTGTGATTGGAGGTTGCCTTCATTAACCTGGGACGTTTCCGGGACGCGCGGGTTGCTGGAGCTCGGCGATTGGAAGCTTCTCGCAAAATCGTTGATCGAATCAAGGTGAGACTTACTATCGAGAGGAGGCCCACTCCGGGCCTGATTGGGGACTTTTGGACTTTTTGGGGCCTGGCAAGAGTGACTCTCATACAAGGCAATACGATTGGCGGGAAGGAAAGTGCGATAGCTGAGAGGTTGGGCGCTCTCATGAGACAAGTTGTGGATGCTTGCGCGCCGAGCCATAAGTGAGAGAAGGTGATGATGATTTACGAGGGGTGTTATCGCTGGTAGGAGGAGGACGCATCTCGGGGCACGCCTCAGCTCAGAGCCGAACGCCTGCCTGGCCGCCGCTCTCTTATCGTCGCCATCTCGTTTATCTGCTGTTCGTTTTTTCCTCTCCTTCATCATAGAGAGCTCCGCCTGGCTTTTCCTCTCCGCTCGTCGCGGGATCGATATTTGCTTTGCTGGAGGCTTCGGGATCGGGCGTTAAATTGTCTCAGTTGAGCCGGAACGTCAAGTTGGCTTCACGTTCTTGCTTTTGCCAGAGACCTGCCGTGAAAGTCTGTAGAAAAAACCTCACTCGACCTTACAATTTTGTGTCCCTAGAGAGCATGCGACAACAGTACCGAACCGAAACCGATTGCAATACTTTTAAACAGACAGCTAGTACCGGGGACAGGAGCAGATGGAGCCTCCAGCAGGTGGTGAAGGCGATCAGAGAGAGCCTCTATGCAGCAGCAAAGCAGGAAATCAGAGCCGTCCATTCAAGGCTGGAGCTAAAAAGAGAGTTCCTCTGATTGGTCTAGCCAAGGTGCTATTTGAGGCTGCAGAAGAGAGTATCTGTTGCTCGCACTTATAGCTTCCTTATACAGTTTTAATGACTTTTTTGGCAAGTCTTTCCCTTTCCTTCTTTTTGCGACTTTTACCCCCTATATTGGAGATTTCTCTGTTGTGCCATAGTCCTTCCGACTCGTTTTGTCTAACTTGTAACAGCTGCAAAGACCTGTTGCCTTTTGCCACGTGTCTCTTACTTACCGCTTCCCTCTCCTACGTTTCTCATACCTGTCTGGCTGGCTGTTCCTTCTTCTCCTTAATCACCTGCTGGTCTTGCTCGGCACTCAGTCTCCCACTCTTTATTAGCTTTCTCAAAAACTGAACCAATGTTTTTTTCCTCCTCTCTAATCGGCCATTCCCACCACTTTCTGGCAGGTGGCGTCAGTTGCAGCGGGGCTGCAGTTCGGCTGGGCTCTCCAGCTGTCCCTCCTCACTCCCTATGTGCAGCAGCTCGGCATTCCCCATGCCTGGGCCTCCTACATCTGGCTCTGTGGGCCGTTATCTGGCTTGTTTGTTCAGGTAATATCTGGCTCTGTGGGCCGTTAGTGCCTCTCATTTGTGGGGCACATGCTGGGGGATAGATTGGTGGCTGAATCAACTCTCATGTTGGCCCCCGCCCCTTCCTTCCCAACTTCCTTCTGCTCTCCCTTTCTCTGCGACCCCCCCCCCCGGCGCCCCCCCCCTCCCTCCCCCAGCCGCTGATTGGCCATTGGAGTGACAGCTGTCACTGCCCGTATGGTCGGCGCCGGCCGTTTATCGCGGCAGGGGCTGTGCTGGTGGTGGTGGAATTGATGCTGATAGCGCTCTCAAGGGACTTTGCATTGCCGCACTAACTCTCATATTAACCCCCGCCCCTCCCCCCCTCCCCCATTTCCTTCCACTCTCCCCTTCTCTGCCTCCCCTTCTCTTCCCTCCCCCCCCCTCCCTCGCCCCTCCCCCAATCCCAACCCGCCTCCCCCCCCCCTCTCCCCCGGTCCCCTCCAGCCGCTGATTGGCTATTGGAGTGACAGCTGTTGTTGTCCGTATGTCCGGCGCCGCCCATTTCTCGTGGCAGGGGCTGTGCTGGTGGTGGTGGCGGCGATGTCGATAGCGTTCTCAAGGGACTTCGCATTGCCGGACTAACTCTCATATTAACCCCCGCCCCTCCCCCCCTCCCCCATGTCCTTCCACTCTCCCCAATCTCTGCCTCCCCTTCTCTTTCCCCCCACCTTCCCTCTCCCCTCCCCCAATCCCAACCCGCCTCCCCCCCACTCTCCCCCCGTCCCCTCCAGCCGCTGATCGGCCATTGGAGTGACAGCTGTCGCTGCCCGTATGGCCGGCGCCGGCCGTTCATCGTGGCAGGGGCTGCTCTGGTGGTGGTGGCGGCGATGCTGATAGCCTTCTCAAGGGACTTGGGAGTTATGCTGGGGGATAGGGTGGAGGAAGGGAGGCCGCTGGTGGGGGCGATCGTGGTTTTCATCCTCGGGTTCTGGTGAGTGGATGCCGAAATGGGCCGGTCAATGGTGCTGGGAGGGTGCTGGGGAGTGGGTGAGGAGGGGGGTTCATGGGGTCCTGCTGTTGCTGCTGGGAGCTGCGCTGGTGGTGGTGGCGGCGATGCTTGTAACGTTCTCAAGGGACCTGGGACACATGCTGGGGGATAGGGTGGAGGAAGGACGGCCGTTGGTGGGGGCGGTCGTGGTTTTCATCCTTGGCTTCTGGTGAGTGGGTGAGGAGGAGAGGAGGAGAGGAGGGTTGATGGGACCATGGTCTGTTTCTGGTGGGAGCTGCGCTGCTGGTGGTGGTGGTGGTGGCGGTGGCGGTGGCGGTGGTGGCGGTGGTGGTGGTGGTGGTGGCGGTGCTGATAGCGTTCTCAAGGGGCCTGGGGCACATGCTGGGGGATAGGGTGGAGGAAGGACGGCCGTTGGTGGGGGCGATTGTCGTTTTCATCCTCGGGTGCTGGGGAGTGGGTGAGGAGGAGGGTTCATGGGACCACGGTGTTGCTGGTGGGAGCTGCGCAGCTGGTGGTGGCAGCGGCGATGCTTGTAGCGTTCTTAAGGGACCTGGGGCACATGCTGGGGGATAGGGTGGAGGAAGGGAGGCCGTTGGTGCAGGCGATCGTGGTTTTCATCCTCGGGTTCTGGTGAGAGGAAGAATCAGGGGCTGCTTTTGAGGCGCCTCAAAAGCAGTCGTCGTTTTCATCCTCGGGTTCTGGTGAGTGGAAGAATCAGGGGAGGGAGGGAGGGAAAGCGGTGGGACGGGGCTGTGGGTACCTACCTGCTCTGTTCTGGTGGTGGTGGCGGCGATGCTGATAGCCTTCTCAAGGGACCTGGGGCACATGCTGGGGGATAGGGTGGAGGAAGGGAGGCCGTTGGTGCAGGCGATCGTGGTTTTCATCCTCGGGTTCTGGTGAGAGGAAGAATCAGGGGCTGCTTTTGAGGCGCCTCAAAAGCAGTCGTCGTTTTCATCCTCGGGTTCTGGTGAGTGGAAGAATCAGGGGAGGGAGGGAGGGAAAGCGGTGGGACGGGGCTGTGGGTACCTACCTGCTCTGTTCTGGTGGTGGTGGCGGCGATGCTGATAGCCTTCTCAAGGGACCTGGGGCACATGCTGGGGGATAGGGTGGAGGAAGGGAGGCCGTTGGTGCAGGCGATCGTGGTTTTCATCCTCGGGTTCTGGTGAGAGGAAGAATCAGGGGCTGCTTTTGAGGCGCCTCAAAAGCAGTCGTGGTTTTCATCCTCGGGTTCTGGTGAGTGGAAGAATCAGGGGAGGGAGGGAGGGAAAGCGGTGGGACGGGGCTGTGGGTACCTACCTGCTCTGTTCTGGTGGTGGTGGCGGCGATGCTGATAGCCTTCTCAAGGGACCTGGGGCACATGCTGGGGGATGAATAGGAATAGGGGAAGCAGCTGATGGTGCTGGCGATCGTCACGAGCAGCTGATTCTTTCAGGGCTCTTAGTGCGTGAGGGGAATTCTCCCCTCATTCTCCTCTCAAGCATCATCCCTGCTCTCATATCTCCCTTTCCCCCACCCCCCCCCCCCCTTTTTCCGTTCCATGCCAGGTTTGCTTGACATGGCCAACTACGGCCTGCAGGGACCCTGCATAGCCTCGCTGGCTGATGGTACAATCATCCAGCTCCATCGATTCTTCTCTCATGAATCATCAATCCACTCATCATCACCACCCTCTCTGCTCTCAGGCTGCTTGACTTGGCCAACAACAGCCTGCAGGGACCCTGCCGAGCTCTGTTGGCCGATTTCACTGGTGAGTGAGGCGGAAATAGTACATGGTCCAAGAACAGACTGGGAAGTCACTCTGGCTATTATTATTTTTCCGTTTAGGCATGGACACGTGTCATTTAGTCACATGGATACACGTGTCATTTAGTCACATGTAGACACGTGTCGTTTAGTCACATGCAGACACGTGACTAATGGTTTCGTCATGCAGCCGAGGCATTGCTTTGCTGCTGGCCTTGATGATGAAGGCTTTTTACAGCCGAAACCAGTTCATCCTGGTTTGAATCAAACCGACTGTTTATTCTCTTAAGCTCGAGCTCAAACCCAAAACCGCTGCCTCGCAGCGCACTCAACCACCGTGGAGGCAGAGGCATTTTTTGTCGACTCAAAAAGACTCTTGGACATCTTCCAGGGAGCGCGGCATCAGTAGACAGGTTAGCAAGTAGGCAAAAAGACTTTTGAGTCGACTCAGAAGTCATCTCAACCACCATGGAGGCAGAGGCATTGCTCTGCTGCTGGCGTTGCTGGAGGCAGAGGCATTGCTCTGCTGCTGGCGTTGCTGGAGGCAGAGGCATTGTGTCTGCTTGGCTTTGCTGCTGGCCCGTACCCACACCTCCCTTCCCCCGTGTCCTCCTTGTTAACATCCCCTTTACAGGCACAGAAGGCAAGAGGATACGTAGGCCCAACGCCTCTTTCTCTCCGTTCATGGCTCTCGGCAATGTGCTTCGCTTTGCTGCTGGCTCCTACCCGTGCCTCGCTGTTGCTCTCTCCTCTCCCCTTCTCCCTCCGATGCCCTTTCTCCCCTCATCTATTCCCTCTCTGTTCTCGTTATAATCACTCCCCGTTACAGGCACTGAGGGGAAGCGCACCCGCAGGGCCAATGCGTAGTTTTCTGCCGTCATGGCTCTGGGCAATGTGCTCAGCTTTGCTGCGGGCTCCTACCCGCACCTCCCCTATGTCCTCCTTATCAACATCCCCTTTACAGGCACAGAGGGGAAACGGACCCGCAGAGCTAATGCGTACTTTTCTGCATTCATGGCTCTGGGCAATGTGCTCGGCTTTGCTGCGGGCTCCTACCCGCACCTCGCCTCGGCTCTCTCCGTCCCGCTCTCCCTCCTCCTCCGCCCTTTCGGGCATTTCTCGCTGGTAACCACGGCGTGTAACAGTGTGTGTGCGAACCTGAAAGCGGCGTTCATGCTGCACGTGGTGCTGCTGCTGGTGTCGACTGCTGTGAGCGTCTCTGCTGCTTCCGAGGAGCCACTCTCTGCTGCTGGTGCTGATGGTGCCAATGGTGGTGCTGGTGGTGCCGATGGTGGTGCTGGTGGTGCCGATGGTGGTGCTGTTGGTGCTGCCAACACTGCAACTGGTGGTGCTGCTGGTGGTGCTGACACTGCTACCAGTGCTGCTGGTGGCGGTGGTAACCCTGCAATGGCCTCTGCTTCTGTCGGAGAGGCTTCTAAAGAGGATAATCTGATTACCCAGCCTCTTTTGCGTTGTTCCACCTACCACGCTCCCGCTGCCCCTCTGTTGAAATCTGTCCATGCTACAGCCTTTGGTGCTCCAGCCATTCATGCTACAGCCTTGAATCCTACAGCCTTTGATGCTATTGCCATTCAAGCTACAGCTTTTGATGCTCTTGCCACTCAAGCTACAGCTTTTGATGCTTCAGCCAATGCCCCAGAAACTGCTGCAGTCCATCTTTCACAATATCCGGTTACTGTTCATGGCCCAATCACTAGTAGCAGCATTGGCAGCGGCAGCGGCAGTGGCAGCAGCAGCGGCAGTGGCAATGGCATCAGTGAGAGTGGGACAAGTGGGGTGTTCAGCCTTAGGGGGGTGTGGCCGGTTGGTGACTCGTTAGAAGGTCTCTTCCCTGCTGATTCGTTACAAGCACTCTCTCCTGATGTGCACATGGAGGAGGGAAGGAGAAGCATTGTCGGGGAGGGGACGGAGGGAGGGGGAAGGGAGTGTGTGAGGGAGTGTGTGAGGGAGTGTGGGAGGGAGTGTGGTGGAGGCAACGAAAGTCAGTTGGGTGTGAGTGAGATAGAGGAGGCGGGGAGAGGTGAGAGGGAGAACAAGAGGGGGTTGAAGGGGCGAAGGGGATGGGAGGAGGGAGGAAGTGGGAAGGATGCGGAAGAAAGGCGAAGTCAGGATGAGGAAGAGGGGGAAGCAGGAGAGAGGGAGGGAGGTGCGGGAGAGGAAGGAGAGGAGGGGGGAGGAGAAGGAGAGGAGGAAGGAGAGGAGGAAGGAGAGGAGGAAGGAGAGGAGGAAGGAGAGGAGGAAGGAGAAGAGGCGGCAGGAGAAGAAGAGGAGGAGGAGGAGGAGGAGGAGGAGGAGGAAGAGGAGGAGGAAGAGGGGGAGGAGGAGCCCAAGCAAGTACTCCTGTGGGAGCTGGTCAGCTCGGTGCAGCAGCTCCCTCCCCCAGTCCTACGAGTGCTGGCAGTCACGGCAATCACCTGGCTCGCATGGTTCCCCTTCCTCCTCTTCGACACCGACTGGATGGGACGGGAGGTCTTCGGCGGCTCAACTAGCCTTAGGGAGGCTAGTAAAGCGGCTAGCGAGGCAGCTCTTAAGGCGTACAGCAGGGGAGTGAGGTTCGGGGCACTAGGTTTGGTGCTGAACTCGGTGGTGCAGGGGGTGACGAGCCTGAGGATCGACGCTCTCTGTAGGAGGTTCGGGTCTCGGGCAGTGTGGGCGGTGGGGAATCTGATGCTGGCGGTTTGCCTGCTGGCCACCGCTGCTGTGCCCTCTGCTGTTGACATGCCTCAGAACCTGCTGGCACCTGCTGTGCTCTCTGCTGGGCCTGCTCCCGGGATTCCTGCTGAAGGGCAGTTGCCTCACATCCTGCTGGCCACGGCTGCTGTTCCCTCTGCTGTTGACATGCCTCAGAACCTGCTGGCACCTGCTGTGCTCTCTGCTCCTGCTCCTGCTGATAGTGCTGCTGCTTTCGCGTTTCATACAGTCACTAATCATATAGCCACGAATCATTCAATCACAGGTGGTACAGGGACTCATCCTGCTCCTGTGGGTTCAGTCACAGGGTTGGGTCGCCTTGAGCCCACTACAGTGGCTGCTGGTCTGCTGCAGTTCCCACTGCTGTCCGAGCAATGGTTGCGGCAGGGGCAACTGATTGGGCAGCAGAATATGCAGCAGGGGCAACTGAACGGGCAGCATAATATGCAGCAGGGGCAACTGAACGGGCAGCAGAATATGCAGCAGGGGCAACTGAACGGGCAGCAGAATATGCAGCAGGAGCAACTGAACGGGCAGCAGAATATGCAGCAGGGGCAACTGAACGGGCAGCAGAATATGCAGCAGGGTGGGGAAGCGATGCAGCACCAGCAGGAGCAACAACAGCAGCAACAGCAGCAACAGAAGCAACAGAAGCAGCGACAGGAGGAGCATTTGGGAGGGCCTCTAGAGTCCCTCTCTCTGCATCGGAAGCTCATACGCAGTCAAAGACCGGCGGGGACCCCGCAGTCTCTTGAGCCCAGTCGGAGCATGCTGCAGGATCCAGTCCACCTGCCTCCCTCCTCATTCCAAAGCACGATGCAGAGCCCTTCCTCCTCCGCTTCCTCTTCCTCCTCCTCTTCCTCCTTTTTGCCCTTGGATCCGCATCCGACGGACACGAATGTCGTCCTCCCATTGCTCCAGCGTCTAATCTCCTCGTTGTCGCATCTCCTTGCCGCTGCTGTTTCGCGGCTCCTCCCCTCGCCGTTGTCCCACGTGTCGCAGTCAGCAGTGGCCAAGGGCGCTGCTCTCACCATCTTTGCTGTTCTGGGTGCTCCCATGGCGGTGAGTTTGGCTGCTGTGAGGGTGGTAGCATGGGAGTGATGGTATCAGCACGCATGGGCATCTGTCTGTGGGTGTCGTAGTCAGCAGTGGCCAAGGGCGCTGCTCTCACCATCTTTGCTGGTGTGGGAGCATGGGAGTGATGGTATCAGCACGCACGGGCATCTGTCTGCGAGCGTCGCGGTCAACAGTGGCCAGTGGAGGAGCCCATGGCGGTGAGTCCGGTCTTCATGAGTGTGGGAGCATGGGAGTCATGGTAGCAGCACACGCGGCCATCTGTCTGTGGGTGTGGCAGTCAGCAGTGGCCAATGGTGCTGCTCTCTCCATCTTTGCTGTTCTGGGTGCTCCCATGGCTGTAAGTCTCCCATCTGCCATTCCCCCGCACAGCACCGTTCACCACAAAAGAGCAGGCTAGGACAAGGCATGCATATGTGACCCATGCGCTAGACTACGCTGTTTTGTCCCATTCTCCCTCACACTACCCCAGGTGACCTACAGCCTCCCATTCTCCCTCACTGCGTCCGTCCCTCACTGCGTCCGTCCCTCACTGCGTCCGTCCCTCACTGCGTCCGTCCCTCACTGCGTCCGTCCCTCACTGCGTCCGTCCCTCACTGCGTCCTTCACCACTAGTGGGTGCGGAGGTTAGGATGGGAGAAGGAGGTTACCCGCTGGTGTGCCACTGTTAGCGAATGGGAGTGGTAACTGCTCCCATATGCCACAACAGCGGCATAAGGGTAGGATGGTTGGATATCCCATCCTACCCTTATGCCGCTGCTGTCCATGCTCTCCATACGGCTGTCCATGCTCTCTGCGCCTCCTCCTACCCCCTGCCGTCCACCCCACGTGACCTACAGCCTCCCTTTCTCCCTCTCACCATCCTTCACCACCAGGGGGGCGGAGGCGGGAGTGTGTTATCTGAACCATGTGCTGCCGCTGCGTTGTGACCCACCATATCCATGACCTCTTTTCCTCATCCTCTGTTCTCCCGGTGACCTACAGCCTCCCATTCTCCCTCGCTGCATCCTTCACTACCAGAAGGGCGGAGGCCAGGGCGTGCTGTGTTTCTTGCAATAACTGTTACGTTGTTACCTGATCACCCACCCACCATGTGCACCAGGTGACCTACAGACTCCCGTTCTCACTCACCGTTTCCTTCACCACCAGAGGGGGCGGAGGCCAGGGCCTGGCAGCTGGTCTGTCTGGTATGCCGTCATTGTGCTTAGTGTTTTGTCCCCCACCCACCATTCCCCACCCCACCCCACCCCATGTGCTCCAGGTGACCTACAGCCTCCCGTTCTCCCTCACAGCATCCTTCACCACCAGGGGGGGCGGAGGCCAGGGCCTGGCAGCTGGTCTGCTCAACATCGCTATAGTCCTACCTCAGGTGAATCCCCAGGTGTTTTTGTTGTGCCCCCGGTGAATCGTCAGGTCTTCGTGCTGTGTCTCAGGTGAATCTGCTTCAGTGACTGTCATTTCTATAGTGCTTCCCGGGACTTGGTATGGTTGCCACAGTAACTGCGCTGATGATCCCTGTCTGTGGTTGACTCTCACTCCTTCGCACTTGCAAGAAAAAAGTGTCTGTTCATTTGACACGGGCTGTGCTTTTTTCTTCTTGAGAATTCTAAAAAACCTAGCACTGCCTGCATGGCAGCTGTTGCCTTTTCACTCTTCTCCCCACCATTCTTTTGACACCCTCCTGTCCCCCTGTCCCCCTGTCCCCCTGTCCCCCTGTCCCCCTGTCTCCCTGTCCCCCTGTCCCCCTGCCCACCTGTCCCCCTGTCCCCCTGTCCCCCTGTCCCCCTGTCCCCCTGTCCCCCTGTCTCCCTGTCCCCCTGTCCCCCTGTCCCCCTGCCCACCTGTCCCCCTGTCCCCCTGTCCACCTGTCCCCCTGTCCCCCTGTCCCCCTGTCCCCCTGTCCCCCTGTCCCCTGTCCCCCTGTCCCCCTGTCCCCCTGTCCCCCTGTCCCCCCGTCCCATTCTCAGATGTTTGTCTCACTAGCCATCGGTCCGTTTGATGCTTTATTTGGAGGGGGGAACATCCCTGGTTTCATGGCAGCTGCTGCTTTCGCTGCTGCTGCAGCCGCAGCGGCTTTCTTCACTCTCCCCCGCCCTCCCCCTGACACTCCCCCCCTCCGGCCCTCTGCCCTACGCCGGTCGTTTAGCTCACCTTGCTTCTCTCCTCTCCCTACCTCTGCCCCACGATCCGATTCTGCTGGCTCTACTTGCGTTTCCCCCCTCCCACCTTTGGGCTTCAAGACATGGTGCAGTAGGAATTACTAGAGTTCCTCAACATATCGTGCATGTCTATCGTGGAGATGTTTGTCGTCAGAATGGTTCTAAAATTGTTGATGCTCCACTAATAGGTGTTGATTTTTTTACTGAAAATCTTCCATCAAGTGTTCATTTCTCTTCACCTGGTCGGTCCCGACTCGCCTTGAACCGATAGTGGGGTTTTCACACTCAGACCACACCCATATTTGTTCTACTTCGTTTCATTTACTAGAAATTGCACTAATTCAAAATGCGGAGGTCTAGGTAGCGGGTATATGGGGTCAGTCTCGGTCAAATGTCAGGAAACTGCTCTTGAGGTGCGGTCTGTGCTTATTTGGCGACAGGTGTCGGCCAATCGACGCTGTGCGAGAAGCCTTCTTCAGTCGTACAGTTACTGCCACCGTCCAATCGGCCGTTTCGCTGCGGTCGCCGCAGTCATCTGGAACCGCGAATGTGCGCCTTTGCTCTCTGGGAAGCGCACATTGTGGACTTGAGCGGTCCGGCGAAACCTCGATGTCGTGCAACATTCGAGTCGCATTTCGTACGCACGAGAAGATCGAGCCGCCGTTTGGGTGTTTCAACCCTGGTGAGGTCTGGTTTGGGAGTCTCCCGGGCTGCCCTGAATTACCTTATTGGAGTATCACTTGCCCCATGTGATACAAATGAAAATATTAGGAAGGACTTGAGAAGCCGTAAGTAAGGCCATTTCTAAAGACGATCAACTTAGAACTCCCGATGTTGTACAGTTCTTGCTCCAAACTCCATGGAGTAGCTACCCAACCTGTGTTGTCTTATCCGGCTGGACCTAAGTAACCCGGGAAGAAGAGATCAAGCCAAGTGACGGGAAACCTTGAACGGATTCCAAAGCTGAAGTGCCCCTGAAAAAGAAACATTCACATTGCCAGTTGAACTTGTCACTTCCACGCCAGCGGTTGCCGAGCCCAGCCCATCCCTTCGTTCGCTGTGTTTCCTCGTTGCTGTGAGGCATCACTTACTGTATCACATCACATCACATCACATCACATCACCCGTACATTGGTGGTGCGGTTCCCGCCGCTTAGCAGGCACGGGCTGGTGAAGGGAAACGCAAGGAGGACGCAACTGTGGCTGCGTCGAGTCGAGGCTCATCTCCGGAATCGGATTGTCCGCTTGGCACCCCACACGTCAGGCGCGTTGTCATAAAAGTGGAATCGGCTTCACGCTAAGTTATCGCAACATTGTCCAACAGCAACACTTCCCTGTCTAGAAGCGCCGATGGCTCCCCGTCCCAGTAAACCGCGGAAAGCGCCAACTTCGCTCACATCCCCGATAGTAGCTCTCCTCGTTCTCGCTATAAGCCTTCTATGCACCCAGAGCCACGCCGCGCCAATCAAGCCCGCCCAGGAGAAGCTCCTCCTCTCCTTGATGCCGTACCTTGACGACTACTTCTACAAGGACACGTGGCGCGCGGGAAACGACTGCAGCAAATGGGAAGGCGTCACGTGTAACTCCCGAGGCGCGGTCGTAAAGATCGAGCTGAACTTCTGGGAATCGGGCCCGATTCCGTCTACGATCACCGCTCTCAACTCCCTCCAACACCTCGAGATCTCCGGATCGAATCTCACCGGCTCGTTGCCGGAAACGCTCGGCGCGCTTCTGACTCTCACCACAATCCGCGTCAGCAGCAGCACCAGCGGGTTCAGCGGCCGCATCCCCCGCTCCCTTTCCTCTCTCTCCAATCTCGTCTCCCTCGATCTCTTCGGCCATAGATTCTCCGGAGGCATCCCGCCCGCGCTTAGCAGTCTTAAGCGTCTTACTTACCTCGCGCTTAACCTCAACCAACTCTCCGGCCCGATCCCCGCCGCGCTCGGCTCCCTCCGAAATTTAAAGACGCTCCTGCTCGCGCATAATCGCTTAACGGGGCTGGTGCCGCGCCAGCTGGCGCAACTTAAGTCGCTGGAGGAATTAAATCTGCAGGAGAACCGATTAATAGGCCCGCTACCCGGCGCTCTGACCGCTCTCGCTCCAACTCTGAAAAGCCTAGACGTTTCGTACAACCAGATCGGAGGCGCCTTTCCATATAGGCTAATTAAGAGGCTGTCGCGGCTCGAGACTCTGAGTCTGCAGCGAGCGGGGATTAAAGACACGACTATGTCGCTGGCTCAGCTGTGGCGTCACCCATCCCTTTACTTAATAGATCTGAGCTGGAACAAAATTTCGGGCAACCTGCCCCACGTCCTGGGCAGGATGAAAAATCTCAACAGGCTTTACCTCATGGGGAACCGGCTCAACGGCTCCGTTTCGTGGAAGTTTTTCGCGTACAAACCGCCCCTGACCGATCTTTCGCTTGCTGACAACCAGCTGACAGGGGAATTTCCGTGGGCTGCCCTAAAAGCGGGAGTTGCGGGGACGCTGGAGCATTTGGACATCAACAGTAATTCCTTTGTGGGAGCCATTCCTACTGCTGCACTTCGCGACTTTCGCCTGACGGATTTCAATGTCTCGGATAATTTCTTTTCCGGGAAGCTGCCCGACATCGGGAGAGGCGAAGGAGACATGGTCTTCGATTTCGCGTATAATTACTTCTGGGGTAACCCCATGCTGACTATTTCCGGGCAGAGTTTCTGCCCGGAAGAGTCCGGCCTGAGTCAGGGGTTTGGGGATGACGAAATTCTGAAAGCTGTGCAGAACTGCTTGTCCAAGACTGCCAGCTGCCCGGAAAAACAGCAGCGGAGCGGGGGAGCATGCACGAAATTTTGTGGTGCAAGCAGCAGCAAAGGGCCGTGCTCAGGCTATGGGACCTGTGTTCCAGTGAATAGTGCCAGGAGCTCTATACAGTTTGAGTGCAAGTGCTATGAGGGGTACAAGCTGAAGGCGGGAAGCAAGCATGAGTGTGTGAGAGACGGCTAACTCTGCTGAGAGATGCTGGTGGCTAGATGAAACGGGACTAGAGAGATAGCCGATGGGGCGGACTACAACAGGAAGAGAAATCAGTGGTGAGCTGATGGGGCTAATACCGTCGGACTGGAGGCAGACACACAGAGAGCTAAAGCTGGTGTAAGTAAGCCGATGGATAGGGGAAGGGAGGTGAAGTGGCGTGGTACATGAGGACTTTCTCTCAAGGAATCACTCTGATAGGCGATCTTATGGTGTCTGGTGCATGGTTGTGTATGCTTGATACCGGTACGAATAATTCATTTGCAGATGTATTACCCCGTCTAGAACCGTGTCTCACATGGCACAACACGCCACAAGTACACTCCACTTAAGAGCTGCAGTTACAGTACCAAAAGTACACTTATATTCTCAGAGTAACGAATGAAGTAAAATGAGTGATACAGGGTGGTTTTGTCCTAAGGTGATGTACTCTCTATGAGCATGCACCTATCTAGCCTATAACATATACAAATATATGTTGACACACCCCCTAGGCTAGACAAGGGGCAACGACGAGCACGAGACACGCATCTCAAGGTGGCACTACTAGTCCAACCTCTGAGGCAAGGGTCTGAAGACCAGTCTGCAAGAGTACGAAGGAAACAAGAGCAACCCAGGGCGGCACTATTAGAGCGTGTTCCTACGAGCCTCTTCCCAAGCAACCCCTTCCCAAGCAGCACTGGCGAACTCGCCACCACGGTCGGAGTGGAGACGCAGTACGGGGAGGCCGCGGTGGACTCGAGCAGCTACGACTCATGGGATAAGAACATCAAGCACGTCAGCCTTATGCTCCAGGGGCAACACCGTGGTGTAGCGCGTGTAGTCGTCGACAAGCACTATAAAGTAGCGCTCTGGACGCAGCTCAGGGACGGGGCATGGGCCCAAAATGTCCAGGTGCAGTGTCTGGAGTGGCGCAGTGGTAGGGGGAAGCGAGGAGGAGTGAGGAGCACGGTGCAGTCGGCCCTCGACGTAGGGCGTGCACAGTGGTGCAAGCGAGGGAGGGAGGGCAGAGATTGATGCAGGGAGACCTAAGACAAGACCGTGATGGGACATGTGATACTGACGGGGGAGTGCGGGGTGACCTAAGCGGTGGTGCCACAGCAGCGACGGGTGGGTGAGCGACTGACACGAGCAAGCTGCAGCAACCTGGAAGGGCGCGGCGACATGGGGGGACACTCCCACCGGGGGGGACGCGATGTCTAGGGTAAACAGGCCAGACACCGGGTCCCGGGGGAACGTGTGAGAGGGGCACCAGTGGCGGCCTCGGTACAGACTGCGTACCACTCGTGTCCAAAAAATGTAGTGGTGACACCAAGGTCCTGAAGACAGCCGACACCAACTAGGTTCCTGGAGAACGAGGGGATGTGCAAGCCTGTAAGAGAGCCCGAGGGAACCGCCGGATAGGGAAGGTTAGTGGAGCTGCGTGCAACTACCGGACCTGAGGAGGGGTCAACAAGTGCTACAGCGGCAAGGGTGGCAAGCGGCGTGAGCGTAGTGTGGTCGCAAAAGAAGCAAGCATACGCACCAGAGTCTAGCGTGAAAGAGAGCGCGGTGGTAGCATCCGCAGGCGGAGGAGCTAGAGTCGAGCCGAGGCTAAACAAGGCAGGTGGTCCTACGCATGGCGCAGTAGGGGAGCCTAGACTTCACACAAGGGGTACACCTACACTGGGCAACACAGGTCCGTCACACTAGAGTCATCTGCATACATGATATACATAGCAGACCTAATCTTATCCATATCCGACTCAAAGACATGCACACGGCGACGCACCAGGCTGTACCAGTCGGGGGAGTCCAACGCAGGGCCGAAGCGGAGACGGAAGAGGTCGTCGAGGCGGCGGTAGCAGCGGGCGGCGGTGTGACAAGGATGGTCGCAGACGGTGCCGCGGCAGGGGCCAGACTGAAGCTGGAACTGGCAGGTGACCACACTGGAGCCGCCACCCGACACTTTGCTGCGCAACCCACCACCACAACCACCACCACCAGCGCCGCCAGGCCACCACGGCGGTGGGGGTCCCCACGGCTGCTGCTGCTGCTGCTGCTGTGACTGCTTTTGCTACTACTAAGGCTGCTGTTGCTCTGAGGAATCAGCCCCGGTCCCCTCGTCTGCACCACCATCCCCGCCACCACATCCGCCACCCGCACCACCCCCGCCATCCTTCCCTCCGCCACGCCCCCT